TTCTCCCATTCTGTGGGTTGCCATTTCACTTTCTTGGTGGTCTCCTTTGAAGCACAAAATTTTTAATTTTGATGAAGTCCAATTTATCTATTTTTTTCTTGTCACTTGTACTTTTGGTGTTGTATAAATAAGACTTTGTTTAATCTAAGTTTACAAAGATTTACTCCCATATTTTAAGAGTTAGATAGTTCTTACAGTTAGGTCTATGATCTATTTTGAGTTAATTTTTGTACACGATGTGAGGTATGGATCCAACTTCATTCTTTTGCATGTGGATGTCCAGTTTTCCAGCTCTATTTGTTGAAAAACTACTTCATTCAATTGCCCTGGCACTCTTGTCAAAAATCAATTGATCCAAGATGTAAGGGTTTATTTCTGGATTCTCAATTCTATTCCACTGATGTGTGTCTATCCTTATGCCAGTACTACACTGTCTTGATTAATGTAGCTTTGTAATAAGTTTTAAAATCAGGAAGTGTGAGTCCTCCAACATTGTTCTTTTTCAAGATTGTTTTAGCTGGGTCCTTTGCATTTCCATATGAATTTTAGGATTAGCTTGCCAATTTCTACAAAAAACTCTGCCTATTGACTTTGACTTAGAGGTTGACAGATGAACTCTCACCCCTGTATCTACAGAACAGGAGTCCACAGACCCAGAGGACAGCATCAAATTCTGGATGAGATTAAAATGATTTATGCCCTGCTTAGTGAAAAAACCCATGGCAGTTAGAGAAAGAGGTCTAAAAATTTCCAAATTGGAGGAAAACTTGGACCTAGTTTCCATTATTCCTGTGATCTTGTAATCTACAAACAAAAACTAAAAGAATAAAAACTGCTTTATGGAAAAAACAAGTTCAAATGGCTCTAAATTCACAATAGTAGAATAGATTTTAGTTATAGTAACATTTTTATAAAGTAGAAAAACCAAATAATTTCTAGGGATCTGAGATTTTATAGCAAAATCATCTGAATCATCCCTATCAATGAAGGTAACAGTACAGCAAGGTTATGCTAATAATGCTCAGGCTTCTGATTTAGACAAACTGAGGCTTGAATCCTAGCTCTGTCGCCTGCTAACTGAATGACTTTGGACGAGTTATGCAACCTTCCATTGATAAAATAGAGATTATATGATAGACCTCCCCAGGTTACCGTGAAGTCTGTATGCACTGATGTACCTACAGTACTGAGCACAGTACCCAGCTCCAGATGCTCAATGACTGGTGGCCAGCTTGGTATCTAAATCAATGCTCCACAGACTCCAGGCACCTCTTCTGTCCCCTCAGCAGGTAACATTCTCCAGCATTTCCATTAAGAAAATATTTCAAAGGAAATGATGAAATATGCTTTCTAAATACCATTAAAACGACCAGACTCATTTATATGTATTTTTTGGTAAGAAGTGACTGGCAGGGACAAAAATATTCTTTTCATGTTGTTAATTAGAAAACTATGAAAACAGTACACACAGCTCTTTCTAGTAATCTTGATCCATGAAGGTCTTCATCTCTTGCCTCTACAGCATTAACATTATAATTAAATGTTTTTTGACAATTAGCCTCAAATAACCAAATACTGAAATAAATTAAAAACATTTACGAGTGGCTATACTTAGAGAGCAGTAAACTCTAGAAGAAATCAGAAAAAAAATTTAACCACACTTCTGAAAGAGAAACCAATTTCAAGAAGGCAGCTATCAATACCGTAGCCTGCACCATGACAGAAGTTTCTAAATTACCAAGACCATCCTCCAATGACAGGAATATTAGATCTTTTGTTACAGTCCCACAAGTCCCTGAGGCTCAGTTCTTTTTTCAGTCCGCTCTTTGTGAGGTAATTCATATTGTTCTACCGTCAACTTCACTCATTCTTTCCTCTGTTATCTCCATTCTGCTGGTGAGTCCATCCAGAGACTTTTTCATTCAGTTATTGTATTTTACAGTTCTAAAATTTTCATTTGATCCTTCTTTATATCTTCCATATCTTTGCTGAAACTTTGGATTTCTTTGCCGAGATCTTCTATTTTTCATTTGTTTCAAGCATGTTTGTAATTGATCATTGAAGCATTTTTATGACAGCTGTTTTAAAATCTCTGCCCTATAATTCCAACAGCTATGTTGTCTTGCTGTTGGGATGTGTTGACTGTTTTGTCTCATTCAAGTTGATTTTCCTGGTTCTTGGTATGGTAAGTGATTTTCAGTTGTGTCTGTTGTGTTATTCTTTGGGTCCAGTGGTCCCAGCCAGTGTGCCTCCTTCTCTCCACCATTCAGGTCTTCTTATGCTTGTTTTATATATAACATCCAAAGTTTTTAGCTGTACTTAGTAGGAGGAACAGGGAGAAGTGGATCTATTCCACCTTGTCTAAACTAGAAGTGTTCTCAGGTGTTTTTCTGAAAAGTAATGCTCTGTTTACTTGACACTATTAAGAACAATAAGTCTAGATAATACAAATAACTTTGAGTGGAATCCTTTCCCCCATATCATGAGTTCAGATCCATCTCCACAGCCCTCACATGCTCACCTGTTAGCAACGGGAGGCTGCCCTCCACACTTTTCATAACTTATTTCCTTACCTAGAATGTTCTCCCTTCTCTTCCCCACTTCCTCTTTCAAAAACGCACCCAAAAACCACTTCCTTTGGGACACCTCTCCCCACTCCTGCTCATACAAATCTCTCCCTTCTCTGCCTCCCGATTTTGACTGTCCCATGGTCTGTTTTTCTTGAGGGAAGGGAAGATGCCTCACGTGTGCCTGTACCATGGACTAAGTGCTGGATGCAAACGATGCTCTCAAAAACGGATTCAGAAACTTTAGTGCTAACAGAAAGGACCCAAGAAATATCTAATCCAACCCCTAAGTCTGCAGACAAGGAAAATGAGATTCTTCATTTATAAAATAGTAACAGAAAGATCACAGAAGCCCCAAGGAACACAAGAAAGAGAAGAATAATACGGTATGTGAGCCCCTATCTCTTACATAATTAACCAAAAGCTAATCACTTTATTTACACATCATTAGGAGCAATGATTACCTTGCCTGGAGAATAATTTCCAGTTTGAGGAGAAAATATGGTATTATCTTAAAATATAATGTTTTTTTCTGGACTTAACAGTCAACTCCCCTCAATCCCACCTTAGGACTTTTAGATTAGTTTGCAGAGAGCCAATCCCTGAAGTTTAACACCAGCAATTTCCCAGCCTCCAGCCTGGAGCTACCTGACCTGAAAACTAGTTGTCTTTCATGATCTTTCGCTATTCATGATCTGCCTCTATTTCCATAGAAACTCTAGAATCATAACCAAAAACTCTAATATGGAGGCCATGTAAAGACATAGAGAAGGCAACTTAAAAACTCTGAAGACAAGAGCCCCACAGACTTTTCAAAGCCATCATTGAGGACGTGACCTTGCATGGCTCTCAGGTCTCAGCTCACATGTCACATGTCAGAGAGACCTTCCCTGATCACCACCTCCCTCCCCCACCCTCCAGCCCCAACTACCGCATTGCCCTGGTTTATTTTTGGTGCATTTATCAATATCCGAAATTGCCCAACTGTTTGCTTCCATTTTGTTCTCTCACTCTTCCACTAGAATGTCAGCTCTCGGTCAGTCTTGTTCACCACCAAGACTCAGAATGATGCACAGCACACAACAGATGCTCAATCAACATTTACCAAATGAATGAAAGAAAAAAACTGAATGAATGCACGTCTTTTTTCACGTCTGGCTGGTCTAACCCTAATGGTCATTTACTGCCCCAAAAGACCCCAGGATACTCTGGTGACAAATGTGGATGTCACACTAGGGCCAGCTGGCCATGGTGACATTTTAGGTGCTCATGGGTACTCTGCAGCTAGAGCTCACTCTCCACTCTCCCTGACAGGAGTGGCCCTGCCAGCCTGACTTGTTCACTTGGCACCCACAGGACCAGTGAGCTTTTAAACTGGGGGTGGGGAGAGAGGGGTACGAGCAGAGCTCCACCAAGAAAACAGTTAGCACTGACACAAACAAAAGTGGAGCAGGGCAAGACAGTATCTGACTGAGAAGGGTACAGAGAGATGATGAGGAAAGAAAAGGCAAGTATGTAGGCAAAGCGCCAGCAGTGCTATCACAGTCCCTTACAGCTGGCTCGGACACTGCCACGAGTTAATAGGATAGAACTACTCATCTCTCACATGTGCTCTACGCCACAGCTTCTCCAACTGCGGGGGGCCTGAGAACCACTGGGTGCATGTTAAAACAGATGACTGGACCCCGGCCCAGAGACTGATTCATTAGATTAGCACGAGGCCTAAACTCTGCACATCTTACAGGCTCCTAGGTGATGCCCCACACTGCCGCTCTGCAAACCTCACTTTGTGTAGCAAGACTCCACAGCTGTGCTGTCCATGTGGCTACTGAATACCTGAAATGTGGCCAGTGTGACTTGAGGAACTGAAGGTTTTATTTTATTTACATGTAAATAGCCACATGTGGCTAATGGCTACTGCACTGGACAGTACATTTCCATCATCGTAGAATGTTCTATCAGACAGTGCTGCTCTACGGCATCTGGAACCTGTGCTTCAAACTACAGCCACAGCTTCCTCTCCCCACAAGCAGAAGTGGGTCAATTCAAAAGGGAAACCTTTAAAATAAAACGGTATTTATTTGCTTCTGTATCCCAACCTGATCATCACCCTGAGAAGAGATGTGCTCAGACCGAGAGCACCAGCTGCTCAGGTGACTCTGACACCAGGGAGGTCCTGGTGTCTGGTGGGGAGGTGGAAGAACGCGGCCAGGGCAGCTGAGACATCGGGCGGCTCCCCCACAGGCGAGTTTGTTTCTTCATGGAGTAGAGATATAATTTAATTTCTAGAAATTCCTAGGAAATCAGACTCACCTATATTCTAGCATAAAAGGAAAAAAAAAGTAATTCAAAGACAAACGTATATTTTAGAGCCATCTGCTGTTTTAGGTCATCTGCTCCGTTTTGCAGATATGGAGGACTGGCTGTACTCACACTGAACACTTGAACGTCGTTTCTGTTTCTTATTTCTTCCACAAGGGCCAGCGGTTTCCCCTTAGGGATTGGGATTGTGCCAAGGACTACAGTGCCTGCGGTGGACAGTGTCTGACGAACAGCCTGGATGAAAGGCTGACTGAAGAGCTCCATTTTCCCAATCTCATCGATGACACACACTCTCTGCCCTGGGCCACTGCTGGAACCTGCCTGAGGATGACAAAGACATTAATTGGGACACTAAAGTCACATTAAGTAAAGGGCCCTGGGGTCCCACTCCCCAATCACTCACCGACCAACAGTCATACCAGGGTGAGTCAACTATGCTTTGGAAGATAAGAGATCACCCCCCGGTCCACAGGGAACACTTAATTGGCAAACTAATCTAGAAGAGCTCCCCTGGAGACTGCAGCACTCAGATCACTCAATTCCCTGAGCCACCCAGTTTTCCTGGAAATTTTTACTCCTCTAGAATGGTTCCAAGAATAACCAAGCTTTATATGTACATACACCCAGAAAATAAGCAGGACCCAAACGCCTCAGGTTAAAAGAAATGAGACAGCAAGTCTGGCAGCCCTTACTAACACTGGTCTCTTGTTTTTTGAGTTTGAGTCGTATGAGGTTCCCTGTCTGCCGGGAGGAGGTAACTGCTGCAAGCAAACGCTTGTGTGTTTCATAATCTGCACTACAAGGGCTGGTGGAAAGAAGTGAAAGTTAAAAGGAAAGGAATCTTGTTAAAAGAAAAAAAGTGAGCAGGGCTGTGCCCTTTAAATCTCACATATCCTTTCTAATGACTTTATACCAATTCATGTCCAGTACTTCCTTGAAAACTCCACTGGGAACAGGTGTGGCAGCCAGCCTCTAAGACTCCTGATGATTCCCAGCTCCTGGGATTTGCACCCTTGTGCAGACCCCACTATGCAGTACCAGGGCTGGTCTGTGTGACCACCAGAATATGACGGAAGTGGTGGTATGTCACTCCTGAGATTAGGTAAGAAAGACTATTGTTTCCACCTTGGTCTCAATCTCTCAACATCTCCGTCTCTCTCTCACTTGTGCATGCTCGTGCTCTGTCTCTCTCTTTCTCCCTCTCTTGAATCACTTGCTCTGGAGGAAGACGGCTGCCATGTTGTAAGGACACTCCGCCAGCAGATGACAAGGTCATGTGGTAAAGAACTGAGGCCTCACGTCAACAGGTAGTGGGGAACTGAGGCCTCCCCGCAACCATGAGAGTGAGCGTGGGAGCGAATCCTTCTAAGCCAAGCCTCAGAAGACTGCAACCTCGTGAGAACCCTAAGCCTGAAACCACGGCGAAGCCACTCCTGGATCCCTGACCCAGGAAACTGTGTGAGATAATAAATGTTCGTTCTAAACTGCTAAATTCTGGAATAATTTGTTACACAGCAACAGAGAACTAATATTTACATCCTCTCTAGAAAGCCCTCCCAGAGAAAGCTGATATGACTTTGAACAGTTCTTTCAAAGCAGGGACACAATAGAAGACATGATAAACACTTCAATGAACGCTCAGTGACATTTTATATATCTTTGCATAAAAGATTATTCTGAAAACTGTATGTAAAGCTGACTTACAAAGTACTTTTCACTATAATTCTTAGACTCCTTAAATAATGACATCAATACATTCTCAGAACGTATGTCTGAGTTAAGCTAGATTTTGCTCAAATTCCAAATACCAAAGCCATGGTACATGTGGCTGGTGGTAGCCAGTGACACACGGGGCTGAGGGGCAGATCCTAAAGCCCTGTATGAAGCACAGAGGGATGGAGATTTTGTCCAACAGCTGAGACATTCTAAGCCAGGGAGGATCACAAGTTGTGCTAGAAAGGCTACTAGCTGAGTGGAGTCAGGAAGACAACTCAGACATTTTTTTGGATTAGATGAAATGAGATTATGGGGTCTAAACCCGGGAAGTGACTGGAGAAAAGCATCAGAGCAGCAGTTTTCAAACTTTTAAGTAAGTGGTACTCTTTATTTTCCTACCTAATGTCATATACATATAACTTATTTTCCACTCATTTTATTAGCAGGAAAAACAGGAAAGGACCCACTGTAATCATCCAAAAGAGGTCTAAACAATCACTCAAACTTCCGTGTTTCAATGCACTTCATTTTTACCTTTCAATTTAGTTTACGTGTGTGTGT